CCCTCCTCCTGCCTCAGTTTCCCCTCCTGCCCGCCCCCTCCCCTGCGGGGTGCACTTCCCCACCCAGACTGGGGCAAGCCAGGACGATCTGGTGCCATGACGCAGCCTCTCTGGATCCGGTGTCCTTGCCCCGACACTTCCGACCGGGACAGCTGGGCTGGGCAGGTGGGGAGACGGGTGGAGGGGTGCTGGGCACAGCACCGGAGCCCCTGCCAGGCTGCAGCGATCCCGGCTGGGCTCCGGGCCCTGGGCAGGCAGGGGGGGCTGGCGGGTGCTGCAGAAGGAAGCATTGGCTAGAAACGCTCGCACGCTCCCTCCTGCACCCGGGACGGGGCAGCTCGGGGCAGAGGCCTGGGTGCCGGGATGCTCCAGCCGTGCCAGGGACTCTCCTTGCCCGGGGTTTGCACTGTGCCGGGCTCTGCTCGGAGGCGGTGGAGCGGCTGCTCCCTGCGGGGCTGGGTGGGTAAGGAGGCATGCACCGTGTTTGTGCTCTCTCTGAATCCTCCCGAGGCCCCGGCAGAGCAGAGGCAGTCCCGGTGCCCAGCGGAGAAGCCAGGTCCTTGCCGCCCGGGCACCCTGGGGACACCCGGACCGGGAGGGGTGGGGGCGGCTCGGCGCTGGGGCATGGCCTGTTGCCTCTCGCCCGGGCTCCGAGTTGTCTAGAAACAAAGCCAGCAGCCCAGGGGATGGCGGCACCAGTGCCCTTTGCAGGGCTCCAGCTGAGATCGTGACTTAAGAAACCACGGCAGTGGGGGGCAACAAGTAGGGGAGCGGGGTCTTCCCTCCTTCTGCAGGACCTGGGCACTTTTCCCAGCCCGTGAGTCGGCCCGGCCAGGGGACTCCAGATTCCCAGGGCCTGCAAGGCCCTTCGGGAGCCCCGGCATCCTCCTCCGAGCCTGGGAACCGGCAAGGGAGGGGGTGGGCGGCTGCGGTGTCCTGCTCCGCTGTGCTCCATCGCTGGGACACCCACCTCTCCCCTTTCCCTCCTAGGACTTGAGGCTCGTGGCACCCCACGCCGAGCGCCGGCAATGGCGGCCCCCCGGCTGCTGCTGCTGGGCACGGCGAGCCTCGTGCTGCTCCTCCCGGCCGCGGGCCAAGTGCCGGATCCGGCCCCGTCGGGCTGCGGCAAGGAGCTGTCGCCGCTGTACTACGCTCTGTGCAACCTGTCGGCGCCCTGGGGCGTGGCGGTGGAAGCCGTGGCCAGCCTGGGCATCGTGACCAGCTTCGTGCTCACCATCGTGCTGGTGGCCAGCCTGCCCTTCACCCAGGACCCCCGCAAGCGGAGCCTGGTGGGCACCCAGGTCTTCTTCCTGCTGGGCACCCTCGGGCTCTTCTGCCTGGCTTTCGCCTTCGTGGTCGGCCGGGATTTCTCCACCTGCGCCGCCCGGCGCTTCCTCTTTGGCGTGCTCTTTGCCGCCTGCTTCTCCTGCCTGCTGGCTCACGCGCTCAGCCTCAACCTGCTGGCACGGCGCAACCGGGGGCCGCGGGGCTGGGCCACCTTCGCAGTGGCCGTGGCGCTGGCGGCCGTGGAGGCCATCATCAACGCTGAGTGGCTGCTCATCACGGTGGTGAGGAACGGGGGTGCCACCCCGGACCCCTGCGCCGTGGCCAACGAGGACTTCGTGCTGGCGCTGCTCTACGTCATGCTGCTGCTGCTGGCCGCCTTCGTGGCAGCCTGGCCCCCGCTGTGCGGCCGCCACGCGCACTGGAGGAAGCACGCTGTCTTCATCCTCCTCACCGCCGCCCTCTCGGCAGCCATCTGGGTGGTCTGGATCGTCATGTACGTCTACGGCAACCGGCAGCGCGGCACGCCGGGCTGGGACGACCCCACACTGGCCGTCGCCCTCGTCGCCAACGCCGGCGTCTTCCTCCTGCTCTACGCCATCCCCGAGGTGACGCACGTGACGCGCCCAGGCCCCGAGCAGACCTACGAGGACGACGGGTACCCGACGCGGGGCGTGGGCTACGATACCATCCTCAAGGAGCACAAGGCTCAGAGCATGTTTGTGGAGAACAAGGCTTTCTCCATGGACGAGCCCACCTCAGGTAGGGAGCAGAGGGCCTGGGGGCAGCGTGCCTGGGGTAGGCGAGTGCCGCTCGGCGCTGCCG